TTAAAAAAATATTGAAAATTAATTTTTTATCAGGTGCATTAAATTCTGTATATCATAATGTATACCAACCCTATTCAGGATTACAACAACAACAACAGCAGCAGCAACAACAACAACAACAAGGTAAATTTTATGAAAAATACATAAATATTGTTTATCTATATTATAAAAAATATATTTTAGCAGGTGCATTATATTCTACATACTATAATGTACACCAACCATACTTAGGTTTACAACAGCAGCAGCAACAACAACAACAAGGTTATTTAACATAATATTTAAAAACAATTTTTTAAAAAAGAAATATTTTAATTTTAGCAGGTGCATTAAATTCTGTACACTATAATGTTCCATATTCTGGGTTACAACAACAACAACAACAACAACAACAGCAACAACAACAACAACAACAACAACAACAACAAGGTAATTAAATATATATAACTTTATATAATAAATGCTTATATACTGTATAATGTTTTTGATTTATCAGGTGCATTATATTCTACTCACATTGATGTACACCAACCATACTTAGGTTTACAACAACAACAACAGCAGCAGCAACAACAACAACAACAACAAGGTAAATTTTATGATAAATTAAAAAATATAGTTAAAATATACTATAGAAAATTTATTTTAGCAGGTGCATTATATTCTACATATTATAATATACACCAACCATACTTAGGTTTACAACAACAACAACAACAGCAGCAGCAGCAGCAACAGCAGCAACAACAACAACAGGGTAAATTTTATGATAAATTTAAAAATGTAGTTAAAATATATTATAAAAAATATATTTTACCAGGTGCATTATATTCTACATACTATACAGTTCACCAACCATACTTAGGTTTACAACAACAACAACAACAGCAACAACAACAACAGCAACAGCAACAACAACAACAGGGTAAATTTTATGATAAATTAAAAAAATATATAGTTTATTAAACTAAACTATATTATTATAATAAAAATTATACATTTTAGCAGGTGCATTATATTCTACATACTATAATGTACACCAACCTTATTCAGGATTACAACAACAACAACAACAACAACAGCAACAAGGTAAAAAAATTATTTATTTTTTAAATTAATAAAAATTGTTTTTTTTTAAATAATTTATTTAACTAAATTATAACTTAGCATCTACCGGTACAATATTATATCCATACTATCTACCCGTTTCGGATCCATTGTATATAAATCCCTATGTCGCCTATTTGCTTGGCTATAATGTACCCTACTCAGTTTTACAACAATACCAACAACAACAACAAGGTTAAATTATTATTATTATATATTAAATTATATACTTATAATTTAAATAAATAAAAAATAAATTATTTTTAAATAGCTGGATTATCATCGCCAACATCAGCTGTCTATCCATTACCTGTATCAGCACCTCCTCCTCCTCAGCAGCACCCGTACCCATACACCCCTATTGAACAACAAAATTATGTGAACCAACAACAACAACAACAACAGCAACAAGGTAAATTAATTAAAAAAAATTTTATAAATATTTTATAAATATTATATAATTTTTTTATAAAAAAAGGAGAAGCACCTAAATACTACCAGCCCATAGATCCAGTTGCTTATCCATATGCAGGAGCAGCAGTATATCCGGCACCAGTAGTACAACAACAACAACAACAACAACAGCAACAATAATAATTAAATTATTTCAAACATAATTTATATTAAAAAATTAATTTTTTCTAACAAATATTTAGTTTAGTTAAATAAATAAATAAAAAAAATTAGATATAAAATAAATATTTAATTTTATTGAATATCCTGAATATTATTTTTTTTAATCATTATATAATATTTATATATATATATATTGTTTGTATACTTTGGTTACATATATTTTTTTTGGAAATAAATAAATAATTAATTAATTGATATAACAAATTGTGTGTATTATAACGATTATAACGTTATATATGCGATAATTATATATTAAATAGTTTTATTTTTTTAAAAAAAACTTAATAAACTTTTTTCATATAATTATAATTAAAAAAAAAATTAAATTTATATCAATTAAATCCATAAAACATTATAAATGTATTAATATATACTATATATTGATATATATATACAGTATATATATATAATAGTATGTAATGTATAATAAATGAATAGTTTTTTAAAAATAAATTATTATTTAATATTATTAAAAAAAAATTTTAAAAATTAATTATATATTTATTTAGTTTCAGTTGTTCAGCCATTTATGTTGCAAAATATTTTGTATTGATATACGATTAGCTAAATTGACATCAATTTGTTTGCCAATCAAATCCAGACAATCCTTGGATGTTGTCGACGACTTTGATTTCATTGTTGCGGCTATGGATGCATTAGTCGGCGGCTGTCGGAGCCAACCGTTGATTTCTTGCGGTGAAAATGGCATCAAATTATTGATCATAACATACAGGATGACACCCGTCGACCAGATATCCGATTTCATGGCATCGTACGGCTGATTTTTGATCATTTCGGGTGCCATATACTGTGGACTACCGCAATAGGTATCCTTCAGCAAGCGTTCACCCGATGAACTCAGACACGATGTTGAGACACCAAAATCGGTAATCTTGGCCACCGATGCCTCTTTGTTGACCAGAATATTTTCGCATTTCATATCCCTGTGTGCCCAACCTTTACCGTGAATATACTCGAGTGCTTTGGCCATACATTTGTACAGTTGTTTGGCCATCGGTTCGGGTAAACCTTTCGCATAATCGGGTTTTGATTGTAAGAGATCCAGGACATCGCCGTCGGCTTTTTCCATGAATACATACATTGTATTTGTTAATAAAATTATACGTATTATTTGGGTTATGAATTCATGGCGAAGTACTTCCAGTGCTTTGAGTTCTTTGGGTAACATTTTTTTCCGATAGTTTTCGCTAGTTTTGGATAAATCAATGATTTTAACGGCAATATCGGCGGTCGTCTGACTACTTGTTTTGTTGTTTGTGTTGTTGTTGGTGTTGTTGGCCGTAGTTATAGTCTGTTTGACCGAACAAACGACACCGAATTTACCCGAATTTATTACCGAAGTTATTGTAAAGCCATTCTCCCGGAGCCGTTCCTCATGACTGGTCGGACAGATATATTTGTCTCCCGGTTTAACTACCATTAGATATATATATATATATATATATATATATAAATACAGTATTTTTTTTATTTGCTTATAATATACACACAATTTGTTATATCAATTAATTTTAATTAGTTTTTCAAAACAAAAGATTTAAATTAATTAATTTACACAAAAAAAATCACGAGATTTATCAATAAATATAATTTTTTATATATATATAAATATTTGATATTAAATTGTTTTGTTTGACTATTTAAATGTTGATATTATTACTGTATTATTATTACTACTATTAAAATATCGCGCGTTTAATATTTTATTACATATGATTTTTTTGTTTTTTGTTTGTTATTGATTTATATTAATTAACTTTAATTTTTTTTAAATTATCATCAATTTAGATAGATTGGATAAAATATTTTTTTAGGACACCCAGTCTACCCCCACCCCACCCCATACAGTCTACCCAATAAAAAACTTTTTTTAACTACATTTTTTGTGGCTAAAAAATAATTGTAAATCAAAAAATTATTATTATATTTATAAAAACCATTACAGTATATATTGTTTTTGTAAACTTTACGACTGTATGATAGAGTAGATTTAAATTACAAATTAATAAAATAAATATATATTATAAACTTTACTACTTATTTACAATAATATATATATAGTATATGATATTTAAAAAAATTAATTTTAGTTTAAACTTTAAGCAAATGTATAGTACTATAAATGACTCAATCAGTTATTTGGGTATCAATTTGGGTACAAAAAAAATTATTATTATTATTTGCAAATGCATTACAAGTTTAGTCATTTACAACACAGTATAATAATATCATATAATTTATATCATTATTATTATTAGTTAGTTAAGAGTCTAATTGAATATTACTATCAATTAAGTTTGAAATTTTGTTTATTTGAAAAGCTATCCATAAGTTCATACAGTATACTACATAACCCTAACTAACCATTGTTTTGAATAATACTAATAATAATAATACAGTGAAAGACACCGACACCCCCACCCCTCCCCACACACACATATCAAATGTTACCACATAAGCACCCATGGGAACAGGAGGTACCGCTAGTCGAGCCGAAATCGGAACTACACTTTACCGGACCCTTCAACAGACCGGTTGTCTCCAGAGTTAGACTAACAAATCCGTCGGGACTACCGGTTTGCTATAAAGTAAAGACAACGGCACCGAACCGATACTTTGTCCGATCGAATAGCGGACTAATCGGACCGTACGATACGGTTATCGTTGTGATTGCATTGCAACCGTTAGTACCGCCGCCGACCACTGTCGGTCCTATTGATTTTGATACCGTAATCGATAGTAACAAAAATCATAAATTTATGATTCAGACGATGTTTGTCGCCAAAGAAGTAGGTAGTGGTGGTGGAGATGGAGGTGAAGGAGATGTCGACTTGAAGAGTCTGTGGATGAAAGCCAAACCCGAAGACATAATGAATTTTAGGCTCAAATGTGTGTTTAACGGGACATATGATAGACACCAGAATCAGACACTAATGGCTGTCAATAATAATAATGACAACGAAGAAGAAGACGAAGAAGTGGTAATGTCTTTGGATATAAAAACATTGTTCGAACGAAACAAACGTTTGCGCGAAGAACTGGCCAAAGAAGTCAATGAGAATATTAGGCTAAAAGAAGACCTATTGTTGTTGAAGACAATGAAGAAGAAGACGACGAATCAGACGACTAATGGTAGTGTTGTTCTCAGCAATGGTAAGACTCCGACGTCGATGACGACTACGACGACGACAACGACAACCAATTTGTCGGCCAATGAATGTCTTCAATGGTTTCAACAGTTTATACTCGTATTGTTGGTATTGTTTATATTTGGCATTTTCATCGGCAAAATGTTGTAAATGTTTTTTTTTTGGTTTTTTTTTTGATGAAAATATATTATTACTAATTCTACAAAAAAAAATAATTATATTTTAATTATATATATGATAACTGAAAATTATATCAAATTTATATACATATATATAATAAAAATATAATTTTTTTTTTGTAGATTTAGTAATAATTTTCAGTTATGTTTATATATATACTGGTATTCTGTATATTACTCTCTCTCTCTCTCTCTCTCTCTCTCTCTCTCTCTATTGTATTGTATTTTTTGATATATTAATTAAATTAATTATAATGTATGACCAAAAAAAAAATTAATTTAATATTTATATTTTTTTTGTGTGTGTATTAAATTATTTAAGAAAATTACTGTAATATCTAAAATGTAAATTATATTAAATATATATATGTCTATAAACTTGTAGTAATAATAATAATATTTGAAATAAAAGTTTATGATAAATTATTAATTATTAAGTTTATTATTATTATTATTAAAATGCAATATACTTTTTATTAATTTTTTTTGTGGTTAAATATATTTATTATATATTAATATATAATATAATAAATAACAATATATATATATATATATATATTTTTTGCTCTTAAGATTTTAATAATTATCACTAATTACTAATCAATTATTATGTCAATATATAATTGTTGATAAATAAATTCAAACTATTATAAATTATTAATTTTTATAACAGAAAATTTCTAAATTATTATTATTATTATAACATTGAATGATAAAAATAAATATTGACAGCAATAGATAATAGGAGAGAGAGAGAGAGAGAGAGAGAGAGAGAGAGAGAGAGAGAGAGAGACTCACAATACAAATAGAGAGAGAGAGAGACATATATATTGATTGATAAGATTATATAAAAAAAATGCAATCATATTATTAATAGTGAGTGTGTTTATTAATATTTAGTTTAGTGTTTTATATCAATATACTATATATATATATATATATATGAAACACTTATAAAAGTTATAAGAGAGTGAATTAAAACATTAATTTTTTTTGTGTGTGATTAGAGATCCCATTTCATTGCACTCTCAATACACACATATATATATATTGGAAATGTAGTTAAACTTTATTTTATTTAAAAAAACATACTATTAATATACATAATAATAATGTTTTTATATTCAGTATTAAAAATTTTTTTTATGGTTAAATATTAATGTCAAATAACCAGTAATTGTTTACTTATTTATAATAATTATAATAATAATAAATCATGTGTTTGTCCATTGATTTTCAAATGTATTTCTGAATTATATATATATCTGTGTTGTTTTGTGTGGAAAAGTTCAGATCAGATGTCTTGTGGTATCTTAAGGAGTGAATCGTCCACTGATTTGGACACCAATTCACATGAATATCGTGCCAATAGACAGGTATTATCAATAGACATAACACAAAAAAAATTATAATTTAATTTTAATTGTTTATTAAAATATTAATATTATATTAATATTTATATTATTTAAGTGTATTTATATGTTGTTGTTATTATTATTATTTTTTTCTGAATTACAAATCAGTCAATCAATCAAATCATATGATAAATATTTATTTTTTTAATTCAATTCAATTAATTAATGATGATTTTATATGTATGTATATCTGTTTTATTAAATATATGTTTTATTGAATATATGTTTTTTTAAGTGTATGAAAATACTGTATTAAAAAGTTTATTATTATTAACTATTTATTCAATAGACTCATTCAAATGAAATGAAAGTTAGTTTTTTATTATTATTATTTATTTTCTAATTTTAATAAATTTAAATAATTAAATGTCATATTTTTTGTTTGTTTGATTGTTTATCTAATTTAAACTAAATTACTAAACTAATAGATAGTTTATTATTATTATTATTATTTTTCCATAAAATAATGTAAATCCTATTAATTATTATTATTATTATTATTACTTATTTGATTGGTTTTTTATTTGTGGTCAAAAAATTAATAGCTTCGGCTAATTTGTGGCTACAATTGCTGGCAATGGCTATTCCTGATAACCGCTGCCATCGAGGTATCACTACTGACCATATTTACGGCACTTGAGTTGGATTATCTCCTACTAAATCCCAGTCAATCATCTGATACTTCATTTGTATTGAATATCATTGTTTTGGTTATTTGTGGTAAAGTTTTTTGTTTGTTTGATAGTTGATATAAAAAAAATACTTGAATTATTTTTTTTAATATTTTTTTTTTGATTAGCATTTTCATTGATATTTCTATTTCACGGTGTATTTTGGGACAAACAATATGATATAACATTGTTTATAGTATCGATGGCTATCCTAACCATTTATATTGCATTTGAGTTTACATTTACCATTGATTACAACTCTATACGTAAATTGGTATGAATTTTGTTTTGTTTTTTTTTTTAATATAATTGAATATACAGTATATATATATATATAATTTTTTAAAGTAATTACTCCCGAATATTACCCGAAAAAAATTTAGTAAATTAAACATAAAAATTAATTTTTAATTTTATTTTCTAATAGATTTTAAAAAATTAAATTATAAAAATACTGTAAATAGTGATACTTGTAGTTAAACTTTTTTTTTAAATATATCAGATTTTGTATCTAAATTACCCTTCACTTTGAATTTGTTGTTTGTGTTTATTAAAAAAAAATTAAATACTAATTAATAAAATTTTTATTATTTATAATTTTCTGATGATATCTTTATTTTTTATTTTTTTTATTAAAAAAAATCTCATAATCAGTACATTTAAAAACATTTATTCATATATATATATATATACAGTATATAAATATATATATATAGTCTTAAGTATTTACAGTACAATAATATATTTATAAGTTTCAATAGTTTTTCATTTTAATAACATGTTATTAATATACAGTATTTACTACTATAGTTAAAGTAAATATTGATAATATAAATATATCAAAAATTATTGCATAATATATGATATATACAATTACCATGGTGAAATTTTTATAATTTACATAAATAACATCTGAAAATAAATAATTATTCCCTTAAAATAGATTTTTTTTTCCTAATTTAAATGCTTTTAACAAAAAAAAATATTAGAAATTTAATTGTTTCGATAAATTATAAAAATTAATTTTTTAGTTTAGTTTAAAATCTAGATTTTATTAATAATATTATACTGTATTTATTTACTTGAAAAAATTGTATTCAAAAAATATCAATAGATTTAACCAATTTTTTAAAAAAATATAAATAATTTATAATTCAATAATAGTTTAATAAGTTTAGTTTTATTTGATACTTAATTAGTTATAAGTTATAACTAATAGAGAGTATAAATTTTAATTTTAAATTATTAACATTTTTTTAGATAAATTAATAAAAATCAAATCAAATCAATAATGATAATAATAATCATGATATTGACTATTGATTAAAAAAAATTTTTTTGTTTATTTAATTTAAATTAAATATTAGTTTTACTAACAAACAAAAAATGTAAAATCTAAAATTCAAACTAAAATAAAATATTTTCCAAAAATAAATTGATAAATACAATTATATTAATACATCAATTGATTAAAAAAATTGATAACCATTAATTAGCAAGTTTTTAAGCTAAAAAAATCAAAATTAATAATTATCTCTAAGGGATGGTTCACATATTACGTTCGCACTTGAGGGGAGTGGGGGGGGGGTTCGGCCAAAGCGAACTTTAAGAGGGGGAGGGGTAGTGATCTTAAGAACATTCGTATTTAGATATCTTATTTTTCCCAGTGATGGGGGTGGGGGAGGGGGTTAGCGGTTATGAAAATGTGAACGTAATTTTTTTTATAATGACTACATGCGAACATAGGGGCTGGTGGGGGTCCAAATGCGAACGTAATATGTGAACAGTCCCTAATTTTTTTTGATTGTCTCTTAAAAATCATTGAATTTTTTTTGTTGGTTGGTTTTAGACTCGTCTATCAATATCATTGTCGATGACATCCTTAATGGTAATACTATCCCGAATTGTTGTACACTTTTCTCAAGAATATTCTATCATTGGTGTGGCTCCGGGACTAATAGTGATGTATAAAAATCAATGCTATTTTCAGATACTATTGAAACTGGATTTTCTAAATGCTGTAAGTTTTTTAATTATTTTTAAAAAAAAACAATTTATTTATTTATTTTGTTGTCAATAACAATAACAAATATCATTTATAGTTTTTTTTAAATAATCATAAATTTACGGAAATTAATTGCAAATTTTGTTTATCAATATACAGTATATATATAATAATGACTAATTTAGTCTACTATTTGGTTAAAATCTGATTAATTAAAAAAAAATTAGTTATTTTGTCCAATAATTGAATAAGTAAATTGAATGACTTAATATAATTATTTTTTTTTTAATTTAGTATTAATTTAGTTTTTTTTGTCAATAACAATAACAACACCAAATATGATTTATATATATTTTTTTTATTTAAAAAAATCATAAATTTATGGAAATATAGTTTCTAGAAATTAATTTACAAATTTTGTTTATCAACAATATATATATATAGTTTTTAGTTATTTATTTATTTTGTCCAATAATAATAATAATAAGTAAATTGAATGAATTAACATATTTATTAAAAAATTTTTTAGTTAGTAATTTAGTATTTTTTGTTTTGTCAACAACAACAAAATTTTTTTGTAGTTTTTTTTTTAAAATCATAAATTTTTTTGGTAATTAATAGTTATGGAAATTAATTGCAATTTTGTTTATCAATATATATATATACTGTATATACTGTATAATTATATATTGATAAACAAAATTGCAATTAATTTCCATAACTATTAATATATATATATATATATATATATACCGTATATATCTATAATAATATCTTATTTATATATAGAAATATATATTGTTGTAATAATATGTAGTAATAATAATAATAGCGACTGACTTTGATTATTGTAGTCTACTATTTGGTTAAAATCTGATTAATTGAAAATTTTTTAGTTATTTTGTCCAATAATAATAATAAGTAAATTGAATGACTTAATATAATTATTTTTTTTTAATTTAGTATTAATTTAGTATTTTTTGTTGTCAACAACAATAACAACAAAAACTATAAATTATTTATAGTTTTTTTTTATAAAATCATAAATTTATCGAAATATAGTTATGGGATATAAATTGCATTAATTTTGTTTATCAATATATAAATATATATATTGTTGTAATAATAATGACTAATTTGATTATTGCAGTCTACTATTGCAAAAATTATTTTTTAGTTATTTATTTATTTTTCAATGAATTAATATGAATACAATTTTTATTCATCAACTAATACAATATCTCTTTATTGTAATTGAATTGTTTAAATGATTATAAAACTAGTAATTTATAATTTTATTTTATTTTATAACTAATATTAAAATAGTTATTATTAGTATTACATTATTATTATACAGTAACTTATAGTATCATTATATTTGAATAGAAAATCTGATCCATTAATTTCATTATTAAAATATTTAATAAAAATTGTATTTAAATATTTTTAAATTACTAATTATTCAATTATTTTTATTTATAAATAACTGTATTTTTAATATTAGTAACATTTAGTCTACCATTTTTTTTTATTTTTATTTATACTAAAAAATATTTTTTATTATAATATAATGTATATTCAGATTCTGTTTTGGAAACATACTATCAATAGATTTATTATATTAATTAAAATTAATTAAAATATTTATTTTAATCAACAAAAATTGATAGTTTAATGAAATAGATTAAAAATTATTATTAAATTTTTAAGATAATTTTTTAAAAAAACTAATAACTATTAGACTATTTATTAATTTATAATAGCTACCAAATTATTTTTAAAAAATAAATAATAAAAATTTTAGCAAAAAATTAAATCAATTCCATATGTTTTGAATTTTTTTTTAATAGTTTAATTATATATATTTTTTTAATTTTTAAAAAACAATTTTCTTAGAAAAACTTGTTTATTTAATAGTCAAATACCATATTAGTAGAGAACTAATTGAAATAATAATAATAATAATAATTTTGATATTTACTACAAGTATTTTGTATATATAGTTATAATTTTATTTATATCACAATTAATTTATTATATTTTTTTATTTTATTTTTTAATATATAATATATTGTAAATACAATTCCGCGAAAAAAAATTCATATATATATATATATATATAACAATTGATGAGTGAATTGATTATTATAATTGATGATATTTAATTAATAATTTATATAATATATATATATATATATATATATATATAGATTTATGATTAACATATAATTTATTTATATATATTAATATAATATTTATTTTTGTACAAAATGTTTTTGAAATGTATTGAAACAACAATAACAAAATGGGAGACAAATTAATTAATTAATAATGAATTATTATTATTAGTATTATTATTATTATTATTATTATAATTAATTAATTAATTTAACGAAATTTAATATTTTGTTCATAATATTGTATGACTTTTTGCGGACACTTAGCATTGGCCACATAGTTGGGCACCAATTGACAGCCGTTCATACCTTTCCATTTGATTAGTAGATAAATGGTATCCTTATGATCGCGGGTAACACCCAATACCCGATCGGCTTTCAAACCCTTATCGAAACCAAAACCTTGTTTCTTCTGCAACAACAGCTGTTCCGTACGTTTTTTCCTTTCGCTGGCCAGTCGTTCGGCTTCTTGTTTGCGTTGTTTTTCAAATTCATCGATTACTTGATGGCAACGAAGATTACGGATCGGTTCCCAAGTATTTTCTTCGTTGGGAAAACCTTTCCACTTGAGATAGTACTCGACTTTACCCTTACGGATACGTTTGTCCAGAATCTTCTCGACATTATATTCGCCTTCATATATGACACCATCACTGCCACCGCCACCACTACCTCCTGCTGTAGTATTCAGTTGACGTTTTGGTTGTACTGTTGTTGTCGGTGTAGTCGACTCTGTCGTCATAGTTGTCATCATAGCTGTCGTTGTGGTTGTTGTTGTCTGTGTTGATGGTGTTGTTGTTGTTGAAGCTGATGATGAAGAAGTCGATGACTTGCCATGACTTTGTTGTTGTTGATGACTCTCTTTACGCAATCTTTTTGCACTCATTTTTCACTAATTTATTATTTATTTTCGCACATTTGTTGTCAAACATTTTATTTATTTATTTTTTTTTTGATTATTAAATTAATAATATTTTTTGCCAGTATTTTGTTGTTGTTGTTGTTGTTGGTGTTTGAACACTAAACTATGAAATATATATATAGTTTTATTATAATATATATATATATATATATATATATATATATATATAGATATAATTTAGAAACTTGATTAATATATGTTAATTAAAAATATAATATATATATATATATATATATATATTCAATATACAGTATATATTTAAAGAATAGTTGGTTTTTTTAATTATATTTTTTTGTATGACTACTGCTTTCAGTACCAATTCCTTACACTAACTAAACCACTCTCAACACTACCACCACTACCTACCTCTCTCTCTCTCTCTCTCTCGCAATGAATCCCATTCCTAATGTAATAACATTTTATATATTATATTATACATACATGTATAGTATCAGTATAGTAGTGTGTTATTTATAATACTATAAATAATATGCTGTATATATACTATATATATATGTATATAATTGCAAATGTATACGTAGTTTAGTTGTGTGTGTGTGTGTGTGTGTGTGTGTGTGTGTGTGAGAGAGAGAGAGAGAGAGAGAGAGAGAGATATCAGTTAAAAAGTTATTTTGCAATCGACGACAACAAACTAACACAACTCCACCACAACTACTACTTCACCGACGATTGTGACCTTCAGTTGATAATAGTATAGTTAGTGGTAGTAGTAGTAGTAGTAGTAGTAGTAGTAGTAGTAGTAGTAGTAGTCGTCAAACACCAGTGACTATACATTCAATGAATTCAATGATTTTTTTCATATATATATATTATATATTTTAGTTTAAACACAAACACTATTACTATATTACACAGACATTAGCTAATAATTCTTGACGTTTACTTTACAATTCAATTTCAAACAAAAACACAATTATTATTAATAATATACAGTATATTATATATATATATATATATTGTATATAAAAATGAAATTTTGGTTAATATTTTACTAATATATATATAAAACAACAAAAATTACATGCAATTAATTAGTATTTTTTATAGCAATTAATTTTTTTCTAGTAGTAGTAGAAGTAAGTATACATAAGCGCCAATTTTGAAGCACACTTTACCAACAAATAGCAATCAGTTTGTAGTGGTAGTAGTTTAACAGCCATATTGTTGGTTACCATTGAAAGAGAGAGAGAGAGAGAGAGAGAGAGAGAGAGAGAGAGAGAGAGAGTTGGCCTAACCCGGGACACGACATCCCATGACTGTCATTAAACCCTTTATTCTCTACTACTATATTACTCACACAACTATATATATATATATATATGAGACTACATAGTCTACCCCATAAAAAGTCAATGTCTTATTTGACGACCAGTTTTTTTTACTATACTGTACTGTATATATACTGTATATATATATATATATATATATATATAATATATTATTGCAATTTGCAATATACCTAACTATTATACCTTTTATCATACCAATGCATATGTATTTTAAATATACAGTACATTATCCTATTTATTAATTAATTTATTTTTTTTCTCAATTAGATTGCTATATATAAATATATAGCAATCTAATTGAGAAAAAAAATAAATAATTTAAATTAAAAAATAATATTATTCTATAATAACCAAGTACAGTATTAATATTTTAGTAACAATTTTTTTTTAAATTTTATAGTACCAGTAATAATTATCTACTATTGTATAAATGATTTTTTTATATATATATTGTTGTGTTTAAGCAATTGTATATAATTTGAAATATATGGTATAAACAGTATATATATAATATGTATATATAATAAAAAACCGGTTTTGGTTTATAATATATATATATATCTGTATTTAAACTCAATTTAAATTATATAACTATAATATAATGTATGGGTTTTTATAAAAATACAATATATATAAACAGGTATATAAACGCATCAACAATACATTAGTTATCAAAAATAAAATATTATATTAATTTTTATCTCTCTCATATATATATAAAATAAAAAAATTTCTAAAACAATGACCTAGGTGATATGCTATCATATCAATAGTTATCTATATATAAATAGTTTAATATATTATTGATTTTAGGCTTTACATTAGGTCAATTACATTTATTATAATATTAAAGTTTTATTTTATTTTGTGATAATTATTTTTTGTTTATATTTTGATTATAATTATATTTTAAATTATATATAAATATATATATATAGGAAAAAATATCGTATAGAGAAATAAATTGGAAAAACAAATAATATTATCTATTTTAATAGTTATTATTAAATTTTTGGTTTAATTAATAATACAATATTTATTACTTCAAAAAACTATAAAATTTATTATTTACAACATATATTATATGATGTTTTTATATATATATAATATAATATATATATAGTACAGTATGTATATGATTACATATTGTAAATAAATATTTAATTAATATGTACTAAATGTATAATTGAAAAAATATCATCTAAACATTTGATATAGATGCTAACAAATTATTTTTTAGATTTTTTAAAAAAATAAATAAGTTAAAATTTGATGAAAATAAATTTTGAACTAAACTTGTAAAATTATAATAAATATTATTAATATTTGAAATGTTTAAACTATTTTAAAAATTGATAAGTAAATTGATGATTAATTCTAGGGGTAAAATTTTAAAAAATTTAAAAATTTATATCAATAATAGTTTTTTTTAAATTATTGATACTTTATTTATGATGAATAACATAATTTATACAAAAAAATAGTGTATTTATTTGCAGTTTATTTTCAAAATAAATAATTTCTATTATTTAGATTATATATATTAATATATATATATATATGAATTATTTAGTATACATTTAATAATTAAATCCAAACCAATAGTTTTTTTTAAAAAAAATTATATTTATTATTAAATATATATATATATATATATTTTATGAAACATACGATTCAAATAATTTTCAATTTTTTTCAAAAATGCCTATTCATTTGAAAATTGAAACTTTAGTTTTATATTATTCAATGCCAATGATTATAATGTGTAATCATTAATAAAATTTATATACTGTATATTTTATTTATTTATTTAAAAAAACAATTAGACATTATAAATACTGTATATATATATAAATATAAATTAAATTAAAAGTGATTTTTATATTTGATAAGACCTTATTAACATTTTGTAATCAATATATTTAATATTATTTATGATATATAAATATATATACAAACATATTTAAAATTATAACTATTTATTAGTTAAAGTATTTAAAACTTATAAATTTCTAAAATATATAATATTTATTAAAATTATTTATTTATGAAAACATAATATGTTTTGTCTATATTTTTATGTCTACAATATTTTAGGATTTTTTTTGATTATTATTATTAAATTAATTAAATTAGTTTTTTTTAAATTATTTGATAAAAATATTGTTAGTATTCAATTTAAAATACAACCTAATCTAATAATAATAGTCTATAAATACTATATGAGGTTAATAATATGTTTATTTTGGTTATACATAAACAATAATTTGTATTTAAAATCATACCTTTTATTATTTAAAAAATAATAATAATAATAATAAACGGTTTGCCAGAAAATGTTGGCTACAAACAAAATGTTGGTTACAAATACAGACAACACACACAACAAAAATCGGTCAAAAAAAACTAATTACAAAACACATACACATACATACAAACACATACTGTTTATATATACCGTATATATATATATACTGTATTTTTGGTCGTTGTTTAACATATATAAAAATATTATTGATTTCTAGCCAAGAATCTAGACTTTCAATACACTCACATATACTCTATATAGGAATATATATATAAATATATATATATATATTAAGCTATATATGTCTGAACACGTTTGCGCACAAAATTCAAAAAACCTCTATCTATAGAATATTCTTGTTTTACTCTATATATATATATATATATATATATATCACAGAAAAAATTTATTATATAATAATAATAATAATAATAGACTGACTGATAGTTTTGTTGTTTATATATATATATATACGTTAGTTTGTAGAACTTATCGATTATATACTATATTTATTATATATATATATATATATAATATCAATATATTCTTATTTTTATTTATTTTTTGAAGTTAGGAATATATATATATATTAATATTTTTTATATGAAAAAAATTTAATCAAACAAAAATTATATTATATAAAGACATTACAAAAATTAAATAAATTTCATTATTAATATATTTTTTTAATTATAAAAATAATATTCATTTTTTTTTCTTTATATAGATTTGTTTTGGTTTATTTAATATCAGTTTATCAATCAATGATCCGATACCACAATATAGTGTATTATCCATAATCATAACGTTTGCATCGATACAATGGGTTACTGGAAAAATTGCTGTAAGAAAATCAAATAAAATATTTAAACAAAAATACAAATCGATATAATAAAAAAATAAATAAATCTAATAAATATATATTAATTTCAACAGCAAAAAAAATAATTTAATTAAAATTTTATAGAACACATTATAATTTAATTAATTATTATACATTAGATGATAATGTATTAGTTATATTGTTTAAAAATTTAATTATATGATTAGTATACTAAATATATATATATATATAAAATATAAGATAAATTACAGCTAGAATTTTAAATGAGTTGTTTATATAGGATATTATAATTTATATTATAGTATATTATTAGCTTATTTTGTTGGAAATATCTATTAAAATAATTGAAAAGTTTTTTTTTGTTTAGTTTTATTTTTATTATTCTTGGTATTAATCAATAAATAATTTAGCAATTTTATAGTACATTATTAGTGTATTATATAATCAATTTTGTTAGCAAAACATAATGAGTTGTTTTTTTAAAAGTGCTTTTATCATCTAAATTACGTTTACTTTAATATTAAAAAAATATATATTAATGTTATATATCATTGCAAAACAAATAACAAAAAAATAAATATAATTTTCATAATATTATGATATAATATATTAAAGTAATTTAAATATATATATATATTACAAGATTTTCTTTAGAAAACAATAAATTTTTACATAAAATTAAAATATTTTCACATAATTATTGAACAAATTATTTTGTTAAGCAATTGAGAAAATATTTAATTTATTTTTTTTTATAGTGAACTATATTTGTTTTCATAAGTATTTTAATTTTAATTTTGTTTTGTTATAAAAATTATTATTTTTTAAAAAATACTGATTCTCTATATAAGGAGATATATTATATATAAATATAAATACTAATAATACACTTATTTATAAATATTGCGCAAAATTTTATTTAAAAAATAATTTTAAATTAGTTTTATTAAACAATTTATAATATATATATAATAAAATTATAGGGTAAAAATGTGTGCGCAATTAAAATATTATTATAATAATAATTGTTTTAACAAAAACAAAAAAAATTGTTGGTTTGAAAACACTATAATATAATTATAATAATTTTTTTTTATTATTTTGTTTGAATCATCACTGAATGAAATCGGACAGACATTTAAGTAATGAGGTCTCAAATGTCACGGATAAGTGTTTATCAGTTTAATTACAACTAAAAAAAATTTTTTTTAATTTTTATAATTTTCATTTAATTGTGTAACGAATACATAAATGAGAAAACAAAAAATAAATAAATAATTTTAGATGAAATTCATTATTAATTTTGTTGTTTTGTTTTGTTTTCGCAAATATTAAGTATATATTTAAGTATTCAGGACATGATATACACGGAATGTTTTAATAAATATTTTATTTATTTATTTATTTATTTATTAAGTAATTGCAAATCACTTATAATATTAAATAATAATAATAATAATAATAATACATATGTTTATCATAAATATTATTGGATTATATTTTCAACAAAAAAAAATATTTTGACAGTTGTTTAAAATGTTTTATTTTTTAAAAGTTTTATTTGATGTTTGGATTTTATTTATAATTTTATATTATATTATTATTATTTAATAGTTTATAATATAACATCAATATATATATATATATACTTAATAAACACTTAAATCTCTCAATCAATAATAATATAATAGTAATAATAATAAAAATAATAATAAAAAGATGCAATATTTTTAATAAACAATAGTTTTTTTAATAGGAGTCATGAAATACACACAAAAAAGTGTTAATAAATATTTTTTAATATTTTTTTTAAATTTTATTGTTACACTCAACGCCTCAATTAATGCCTCAAATAATTATAATTAGACCCCGACTTTCAATTTTCAATTTTATTGTATAATAAATATATATATATACAGTATATATATATATATATATATATTATAAAATATATGTATATAATTTATATGTACTGTATTAAAAACTTCAAGGTCTATAGTTCATTGAAAACCAGTCCCCCTATTGTGTGTGTGTGTGTGTGTGTGTGTGTATGTGTGTGTGTTTAAAACACATACATATGTATTAACATTTAATGTCCATAATTATTGTTGTATTTAATATATATATATAAAATTTTCAGCTACCGTTCCCTTTTAACTAATCATCTTTTACTCACTCACTCACTCACTCACTAATTCTCACTTTTTTTAAATAAAAATTTATTATTATCTCAAATAATAATTATTTTTTATCATGTGTTCCATAAAAATGCATTACACAAAAAATTTTATAAAAAATTATTAAAAATAGTTATTCATTATTATAATTATTATTATTAATATATATATATATATATTTTAAATACATTAATAACTTATTTTTTCTAATTATTATTTTTTTAAATTTTTTTTTATATATTTATAAAAAAAATATTTAGGTTTTAAAGGAAGTCAAGTGCTGTTTATTATTGTTTGTATGCCTATCCATAACATCACTGTTGTGGGTGCCGTTACAGGTAAATGAAAATAAAATATATGCAAACATTGCATGCATTTAAAAAAAATTAAAACATAAAACAATATATAAATACTGTATATTATGCAATAATAATAATTATATATTAATATATAGATATATAAATTATATACTGTATATATATATTATAATGCATAATATATTTTATTTAAACTATGCAAACTATTATACATGAAAATCACTGATTATATTATATTATTTTATTATAAATTTATAATATAAGCAAAATAATTCATATACAGTATAATAATCTTATAATGTAATTATTATTATTTTTTTAAATTAAAATTATTCATAAAACAATTGCTATTTGTCTTCAACTGCAAATTAGGACAAACACACACACACATACATACATACATACATACATGCACACATATGCATACATACATACACACACATGCATACATACACATACATACATACACATGGATACATACATACATACACACACACATGCATACACACATACATACATACATACATACATACATACATACATACATACATACATACATACATACATACATACATACATACATACATACATACATACATACATACATACATACATACATACATACATACATACATACATACATACATACATACATACATACATACATACATACATACATACATACATACATACATACATACATACATACATACACACACAAACATGCATACATACATACATACACACATACACACACACACACACACACACACACACATACTGTACATACAATAAGATTATGCATAAAATTAAACATTAATTTTATTATGAGAGAGATAAACAATATAAATTATACAAAAATTTTGTATTATCCTATTATTATTATTATTATAAATTATAAGTTTTAATCATCGGATAATTTTTTAATTTAATTTAATATTCAAACAACAAACAAACAAAAAATAATTATATAATTTTCATACAACTTTCACTATTCAAATTCAAATTCAACTTATAGTTTGTATTCATGCGATCCTGTTTTCAATCGACTGTCTGTCTGTCCCAACAATTACTATTGACATACAGTTCCCTATTTTCGGCACTGGTATTGGTTTTTGTCCGTATTTTACTATTTATGCAACTATTGAGAGCCCACCGAAACTTTGGCTACGGTCTCGCCGATGCAGGTCTTTGCCTATCATTTACTATTAAAAGTTAAAAAAAACTTTAAAAATTTAAAAATTTAAAGTTTTTTATACATTTTAAAAAATTAGTTTTGTGTCCTGAAATTAGTATTATTAATATTACTAATAATAATAATAATAAGTGATAATTATTGTTGTGTTTTTTTTTGGTAGTTATAATCACAGATTTATTTATTTTTTATTAATTAATTGATAATTGTTTTCAATTTAATATCGTTTTTAATTTATTGTATTAATTATTAATTTTGTGTGTGTGTGTGTTATGTATTAATTAATTTATTATTAATATTATCTAAATGTGATATTGATTTTGTTAACAAAAAAATTGTTTTTATTTTTTAAAAAAATTGTTTTTTTAAATAATTATTATTTTAAATATTTATTATTATGTTTATCCAGCGTTTGTGGGATTAGTTAATGAAACTACACGTCTATTATCGCGAACTCCTAGAAGACGATCGGATATATAATATAATTAATTAATTAATTAATTTTTTTGTGTAAATATTTTATTATATAATTAATATTTTAAAAAACAAAAAAAAAGTTTGTATTCAACAACAACAAAAACTACTATACAAACTATCTTTTTTTTATTGAGATAAAAATTATATAATTTTTTTAGTATACTGTTTATTAAGATATATATAATATATATACAAAATTTTTTAAGCATTAAATTTTTTTAACTATATATTTTTCTATAGTATATTAGTATCCAGGTTTTAATAATAATAATAATATACTGTAATAATTATAGAATTTTAATAGTAAACTAATATAATATTTTTTAGTTTTAAAAAAATGATACTTAAAAATAAATTTTATATAAAATTATTGTTTTAGATTAATTTTTTTTGCTTGTATATGATAAAATATTTAAATTTAAATATTAATATTTTTTATTAGTAGTAATAATAATTTTTTATTCCACCCATTGCATTTATTTATTTACTAAAAAAAATTTATTAATTAATAAAATATATATTATTTTGCTTATTATTTTGTTTTATTAGTTACATAACATATATGATAATAACATAAACAAATTATATAATTTATTTTATTTTATAGTTTTTGCACACATAAAAAACAATAATAATAATTATATAATTTCTAGACTAATAAATCCCATTTAAAATCATTTAATTATAATATTGATGATAACAACAACAAAAAATCTACTAAATTTTTTTATTGTCAATGATGTGAATAACTTGACTTAAATTGTTTTAATAATAATAATAATAAAACACAAGTGATTGTAATTATTGATTTTTTTTTATTTGGTTATATATAATAAAACAATTCAACAACAATAATGATAATAATAATAATAATGAGTAGAAAGTGATAAAAAAAAATTAAGTAATTATTTTTTTGTTAATAAATAAATAATTTATTAAAAGTGATAGATATGTGTGTCTGTGTTTTTTTAAATGAAGTTTGAATACAAAATATTTTATACTACTCTATAAACACATATTTAACAAAATTATTTTGTATTTCATATAAGTGTTATATAACTGTTGTTGTTGTAGTAGTAGTAGTAGTAGTAGTAGTAGTGATGGTCATGACATATAAAAACCCAGTGATTATTACTTATACTATAGGAAAGTAGTTTTTAATTTAAAAAAAATAAAAATTAAAAATTTTCGTGTGTGTGTGTGATAACTATATTACTTTTGAAAAAAATTTTTAAAAAATTTCATTTGAGATGAATTTATTGTATATAAAAAATATTTGTTAAAATGTTTTCTGTGTTCACTCTTTTTTGAACTTTTTTTTGTTGTTTTTTTATTTTTTGCTATTTTTTATTTTTTGTTCAAAAAATACAATGTATTTGTTGTGTTGTCTATGTTTTTTGTTGGTCATCACAACAACAACAAACTAATACAGTATTATTAATAAATTTTTTAATAAATTTAAATTATTTTTTTGAAAAAAATGTTTAACAAAATGATGATTATTATTAAAATTTTGTTGATTTTATTTTTATTGATTTTGTGGTAAGTTTTTTAAAATTTTTGTGTCGATTATCAATCTTTCGATATATAATTGATATCAATATAAGCAAAAAAAAATTAGATATAATTTTGTGTAAAATTTTTTTTTTTAGTCAAATTAGAAACAATTTTTGCATCACTGATGATGATAGTCATAGAAATAATAATAATAATAAATTAAATTTTTTGGATAAAAATTGTAATAATAATTATAATAACTATAATAATAATAATAATAATGACTTCAAGTGTCCGAAGATTACATTTACCGACAATGTTATCGAAGAGGCGCTAAAAAGTGGTCACAATTATACTAATCAATTGAAATCAATTGAAGATATCATTGATTCAAAAGGTTTGTTCATCGATACGACCAAAATATCTGCCGCCGCCCGACATGTCATACCCTCACAAAACAGACACCATTTACGGGAAATTCATGAAAATCAGCGATTTTTCGAAGAAGTTTCCCGACATCTCATTAAAAAGTAATTTTAATTTTATCAAAAAAATAAAATTTATTTACTCATAAAAACAAAATTAACTTATTTTATATATATATATATATATTAATTGTTTTTATCATTTATAGTTTTATTTATTAATTATTTGATTATTTATTAATTTTTATTTAATAATATACAATAATGATTGATATTATATTTATTAATATAATATATTTATTATTATTATTATAGTTTATTAATTAATTAATCATTAATAATAATAATACTTATTTATACAATATATACTATTAATAGTATTACTAAATAATTAATTTATAAATTCTAATATAAAAGTTTTACTCAAAAAAAAATAATTTAATAATATTTTTTTATAACTAAATATATAAAATAAAACTCAATTTATTTTTCATTAAAAAAAATATTTTAATTTTTATTTTATTTAAAAAACAATTAGTTATAGTTTAAGTGGCGATGAAGTCCAAGCCTTACGGCACAGTAATGTCGAACAGCATAGACTTGTGCGCCGAAAGCGCCAGACATGTCGTTCCCAACAACCGATCAATTGTTTTCGTAGCCGTTTTCGTACGTTTGACGGCAGCTGTAATAATGAACGCAACCCCCGATGGGGAAAGTCGTTTGAATGTGTGGCCCGACTATTGGATCCCAACTATGCCGACGGTAATGACTCTCTATCTCTCTCTCTTTCTTTCTCTCTCTCTCTCTCTCTCTCTTTCTCTCTTTCTCTCTCTCTCTCTGTCTCTCTGTCTCTCTCTCTCTCTCTCTCTCTCTATACACTATAGTATAAAATATCGGTTAAAAAACTATTGTTTTTTATTGTTTTAAAAGGAGTGTCCGCTCCCCGAGTTTCCCGATCGGGTCGACCGTTGCCCAATCCGCGTAGTCTATCGGTAGCCATACACCCGCAAGAGGATGTCAGTGCCAACTTTAGCCATATGGTGATGCAATTTGGCCAGTTTCTCGACCACGACATATCACTGTCACCGGTAACCCAGTTGCGTACCGGCGGCGTCCAGTGCTGTCCCCGACCGACACATCCGGATTGTTTCGAGATTCCAGTTCCCGGGAATGACCAGTTTTTCAATCGGATGGGCCAACGGTGTATTAATTTTGTCCGATCCGTACCGTGCGAATCGTGCCGTACTGGTCATCGGTTGCAGCTGAACGAGTTGACCGCTTTTATCGATGCCAGCAATATCTACGGCAGTAGTATTAATGAATCGTTTGGGCTCAGGGATAAAAATGGTATGACTGTGTGTGTATGTGTGTGTATGTGTGTGTATGTGTGTGTATGTTTGTGTATGTGTGTGTATGTGTGTGTATATGTGTGTATATGTGTGTATATGTGTGTATATGTGTGTATGTGTGTGTATGTGTGTGTATGTGTGTGTATGTATGTGTATGTGTGTGTATGTRTGTATGTGTGTGTGTGTGTGTGTGTGTGTGTGTGTGTGTGTGTGTGTGTGTGTGTGTGTATGTGTGTGTATGTGTGTGTATGTATGTGTATGTGTGTGTATGTATGTATGTATGTGTGTGTGTGTGTGTGTGTGTGTGTGTGTGTATGTGTGTGTGTGTATGTATGTGTATGTGTGTGTATGTATGTATGTATGTGTGTGTGTGTGTGTGTGTGTATGTGTGTGTGTGTGTGTGTGTGTGTGTGTGTGTGTGTGTATGTGTGTGTGTATGTGTGTGTATGTTTGTGTATATGTGTGTATGTGTGTGTGTGTGTGTGTGTGTGTGTGTGTGTGTGTGTATGTGTGTGTGTGTATGTGTGTGTATGTTTGTGTATATGTGTGTATGTGTGTGTGTGTGTGTGTGTGTGTGTGTGTGTGTGTATGTATGTGTGTGTGTATGTGTGTGTATGTTTGTGTATATGTGTGTATGTGTGTGTGTGTGTGTTTGTGTGTATCTTCTAATATATAAATTATTTTATTGTCTATATATATATATATATATATATATTTGGTGTCCATTTTTAGGTTTATTAGCCGTCGGTTTTGATAAGTTTCGGCGACCAATATTACCGCCAAGTAATAACATCGGCAACGATCAGTGCAGTCGACCCAATAAGCTATGCTTCCGGGCGGGCGATAACTCCCGGGTCAATCAGCACCCGGCTCTCACAGCACTTCATACAATTTGGGTAATAATTTTTGGTTTTTACACTTTCTATAAATTTTGAATAATATATTATTTAAAATAAAACTACAATAACAACAACAAAAAACAACTAAACATTATTTAGACTATTATTTCATTGCAAACAAAAAATGATTAAAATCTTTTTTTTTTTCATAATATAATAATCATAATATTATAGTAATAATAATAATGTTATTACATTTATTTTGAAAAAAATAAATAAATTTACAAATTAGTTTATTATTATTATTGTTATAAATATTTTTTTTTTAATACATTATAATATCTGTATTAACAATAATAATAATTATATTATTATTATATAATAACACATATATGATAATCATTATTATCATATAATAATAATAATACTTTCTATATTATCATTTTATTTAATCTAAAATTATTTTAATATTTTTGATGAATATTTAAAGAGAGAGAGAGAGAGAGAGAGAGAGAGAAAGAAAAAATATATAATTATTTTTATTTTCACTCTTTGTTTCTTAAACTTTGTGTTACTGTTGTTGTTGTTGTTATTGTTGTTTTGATTATTAAACAACAATATATTATAATATATTAAAAAACGACATTTAAATATGAGAAATGAAAATTTCATATTTAATATTATTATTATAAAAAAAATAATTATTATAATAATAATCATTGATTTCAGATGAGACAACACAATAGGGTTGCCTCGGCTATCAAACAATTAAATCCTTTATGGGATGGCGAGCGTGTATATCAAGAATCCAGGTCTATATCATATATCAATTATATATATATATATATATATTTAAATATTATATAATATATATTTTAAAATATTATATAATATATATTAAAATATATTATAAATTTACATATTTATATACATATATATATAGTACTCTTATACATCACTATTATGAATAATTACTTTTTATTATTATTCAAATTCATATATATATATATATATATATGATATTATATAATAGCATTTTGTTAAATTCATAGTAAATAAGTTATAAAAAAAATATTTATTTTATTATTATTATTATTGTGTACTTAATTAAATAACATAATAACATATTACTTGTTAGTAGTACTGTATATATATATTCATATAAATAATAAGTAACTGTTAGTTTGTTATTTTATTTTATTTTAATAATAATATTTTTATTTTATTCATTTTATTATTTTTTTTTTGGTGATAATATCCATTGAAATCTATTAATTTTATGATTTATTGATATTTATTTAGACGTATAATCGGTGCCCAAATGCAAATGATTACATACAATGAATTTTTGCCAATAGTTTTGGGACCAAAAGTCATGCAATTTTACAAATTAAATGTCCAAACAAATGATAACAACACCAACAGCTTTACCCGATATGACCCGTCGGTAAATCCGTCAATTTTGAGTGAATTTTCATCGGCTGCCTTCCGTTTCGGCCACAGTATAGTAAACGGTAGGTTCAGTTTGATTAGCTCATCCACACCGTCCCAGAAATCGTCGTTCAATTTGCGGGACAACTTTTTTACCGCCAATCGTATGCATTCCGGCCAAATGGATGCCATATTAAGAGGACTGGTAGGTCGCAGTGCCCAACGATTTGATCCGTTTTGTCATGGTGATCTGCGCAATCATCTATACCAACAGCGGGGACAGTTATCCGGATCGGATTTACCAGCGATGAACATACAGCGCGGCCGGGATCACGGACTACCCGGTTATGTACATTATCTTAAGCATTGTTTTAAAGAAGTAATTATTTTTTGGATAAATTTTTTTTATACTAATTATTATTATATATTTTAATATTATTATTTTTTTAAATATTATTATTAATATTATTTTTAATACTAATTATTATTATTATTTTTATACTAATTATTATTATTATTATGTATTTTAATATTATTATTAATATTATTTTTATACTAATTATTATTATTATTATATATTTTAATATTATTATTAATATTATTATTAATACTAATTATTAATATTATTATTAATACTAATTATTAATATTATTATTAATACTAATTATTAATATTATTATTAATATTATTTTTAATACTAATTATTAATATTATTTTTAATACTAATTATTAATATTATTTTTAATACTAATTATTAATATTATTTTTAATACTAATTATTAATATTATTTTAAATACTAATTATTAATATTATTTTTAATACTAATTATTAATATTATTTTTAATACTAATTATTAATATTATTTTTAATATTATTTTTTTATTATTATTTATTATTTATTTAAAGGATATCAAAACATTTGAACAATTGGATCAGTATATGCCGTCGAGTCAAAGACAACGATTCCAGCAGAGCTACCAACACGTCGAAGATATCGATTTGTTTTCGGGCGGTATATCCGAGTTGCCGCTGTCGGGTGCTATAGTCGGACCAACATTTGCCTGTATTATTGGTACACAATTTAATCATTTGAAATATGGCGATCGTTTCTATTTTGAACATAAAGGACAACCCGGCTCATTTACTTCTGGTATATTTTTTGTATTATCTACCTGTCCTCTAAATGATACTAACTGTCCATTTTGTTTTACCGACTGTTCATTCAATTGGTTTTTTTTAGGTCAACTAAAGGCCATTCGCGGTACACTATTTGCACGTATTGTTTGTATTAATGGCAATAATTTTAAGGAAATTCATTCACATATTTTCCAATTAAATAGCGATAGGTTTGTTGTTAATGATTGATTGATATTTGAAATTTTTAACTTAATTTTTTTTAATTTAATTTTTTTATTTTATTATTTTTTAACATTTTAACACTTTTTTTAGCGACCCTATAATATCATGCGATGACATACCCGATATCGATATAAGCCAATGGCGAGATGCTTAATATAATTGATTGATTACATAGTTTAATATAGTATTATTATTTTTTTATTTAAAAAAAATATATTTATATAAAAAATAAAATATATATATATAATTATTAATGTACATGTGTTATGATGATAAGTAATTTTTTTATTTGATTAAATGTATTAATTGTATTATGATATATTTTTGTTTAGATTACCAAAAAAAAAATTATTATTTTAATTCAATAAAATTGTTATATATATATTAATATATTATATAAATTACTTATTAATTGTTGATTAAGATAATAATAAAATTTCAATTAAAACAATAATTAATTTTTTTGGTTGACAGTATATTTAGTATTTAGAAAATACATTTAAAATATTTGTAATATTTTAATAATAATATTATTGATCTGTTGTTTTAAATATTTTTTAGATTTTACTGATAATTTTACTATACATTTAATAATAATAATTTTTACAATTTAATATTTTTTTTTAAAAAATAATATGTATGTAAAAAATAATAAATTTTTATATTAGAGAAATTAATTAATTTTTTAAAAAACTATATATCAATAGATATTGGATTTTAATGATAAAAAAAATTAATCAATTAATTTAAAAGCTAACGATTGTTAAGATCAGCATTTAATTTCATCTACAAAAATAAATGCTGATCTCAATAGATATTTGTATTTTTTTTAATAAAAAAAATTAGCAATCATTACATTACATTAGTATATTCATATCCTGTTATCAAATATAATTAAATTAATATTTTTTTTAATGTTTAAAAAAACTAATACCAATTTATATATAGTTAATTGTTTGTGTATAATTTAGTAATATATTAATAAATAATAATTATTATTATTATTATTTGTTGTGATATTTTAGTTTTATTAGCCAACTGTGTCACCAATGAGGCATAAATTAAATTTTTGGTAATAATAATAATAATATTATTTTTAATAATTTATTTAACATTTATATTATTATTAATTTACTTATTTAACATTTATATAATAATAATAATAATAATTTGATAACTAATTAATGATTTAATGATTTTTCTGATTAATTGATTTAAATTTAAATTTTATTTTATTTATTTATTATTTATTTTTTTAAAGGAAACTATCTTTAATTGTTGTCTTAATTTTGTCGACAACTATCACCAGCGAGGCGAAGACAAAAGACAAATACAACAACAAAAGGACTTTTAGTTTAACTCAAGACAAAGATAATGACGACAACGACAATACTGGCGATGATTATGATAAACATGAAACTGATGGCAGCAAACTAATTGATTTCAATGATAAAGACAAGGATCAGCTAACAACCAAAGACGATGATGATAATAAATATACATTACCTGATGAAAGTGAATATCCGAGTATCGGTTATCCGGATACTGGTTACGGTTATCATTCAACTAATTCAAATTGGATGTCATCATCATCTGATGGTGGTTATCACTCAACTGATCCGGTTTATGGCAACAATAATGATAATGACAACAACAACAACAACAACCCTTATAATAGTGACAACACTTACAATACTAATACTACTAATAATAATAATGCAAACTATAATCAATCAAATAATGTAATTATTATTTATTTTTATTATTTTTAAATATAAAAATTTTAATTTATATATATATATTTTAAACTAAGGTTTCTAATGGAAATGGCGTTTATACTACCTATCCGTCACCACCAAACCATAGCGGTAGTAGTTATGGTAGACCATCACCACCGATGGTCTATACGCCCAGTTATGCCCGCTATTATCAATTGTATCGGAATCCAGCATTTTATCAATACTTGAAGCAAATGTACGGCCAATACAATTACAATTATCGACAACCAGCTACCGGGCCGTACAATCGATTCAATTATACGACATATAATCTAAGTCCACCTAATAATCAACAACAACAATATCTGAATGTATCGGCACTTAGATCGCCCTATCAGTCAATACCGGGCACCTATACCCAAAGCTCCTATAGCCAGAAACAGTTTCAACCGGGCAAACTCTATAGCTACAATCAAATCTATGCCAACTATTTGTCTACCGGTGCCTTTATGTATAGTTCGGGTGCCTGTTCGACTAGCTATGGCCAGACACCTAAGATTACCCAACTGGATATGGAACAGGCATTCGATTATGCCCATCGTCAGCTCCGGGACTACGATCGACAGTTTGGTAATTATTCCCAGTTTTCCAATCAGTCGCCGCCATTGAAACTGAAAGAAAAGGAGGCGCTTCTCATGGAATATGTGACCGAATATTTCGCTAAATTGTATGTAATTTTCTATTATTAATATTTTTAATATTATTATTATTATTAATATTATTTTTATATTATTTTTAATATTATTTTTAACATTATTATTATTATTATTCTTAATATAATTATTATTATTATTAATATTATTATTTATATTATTATTATTTTATTATTAATATTATTATTATATTATTTTTAATATTATTTTTAATATTATTTTTAATATTATTTTTAATATTATTTTTAATATTATTTTTAATATTATTTTTAATATTATTTTTAATATTATCTTTAATATTATCTTTAATATTATTATTAATATTATTATTATATTATTTTTTAGTAGTATTTTTAATATTATTGTTATTTTTAAATATTGTTATTATTATTAAATTATGTATTATTATTATTAATCATAAGTTTATATATATAATTGTGTTTTACATTTGTATTATTGAAAAATAATATAAAATTTTTGTTTATAAAAATCACATAAATATTTATAAATATATATCTTATATTGATAATTGATTATATTGATTTTTGTTGTTATTAATTAATTAATTTTAGTAAATGTTTGAGCAAATATCAGACAACAATATTCCTGCCGTCGGTAACCATTGGCCAACAATATTTTCGCAACAAATACGGCGATACCAGTTGCTATTCGGCTTACGGTGGCCAGGGATGGAATCTCCAGTGCCCGGAATTTAACAGCAAATACAGGACAATTGACGGCAGCTGTAATAATGCCCGACATCCGTATTGGGGTAAATCGTATGTCTGTCATCTACGGCTGCTGCCGCCTGACTATGCCGACGGTGTATCGGCTCCCCGGTTGGCCAACGATGGTTCGCAGTTGCCGAGTCCGCGTACGCTAATCAATCTGATGACATCGGATAAGCCGTTTGAATCGTTTTATACGAATATGAAGATGGCTTTCGGCCAGTTTGTCAATCACGACGTCACCCATACGCCCGTCTACTTTAGCTACGCCCTATCCGGTAGCTATACGGCACCCACCGATTGTTGCCGGCGACCAAACTTGCGCCAATGTCTACCCATTCAAATCGATCCGACACCCTATGACTATCAGTACCGAATGTTTAACAATACTTGCCTGAACTTTGTCCGATCGGCTCCCTGTCCTCTCTGCGAAATAGGTATACAGTATTGTAATGATAATATGATTACTAATTGATTTTTTTTTCTAATACCCCCACCCCCCGCCATCAGGTCCAAGACAACAGTCCAATATTGTTTCATCATTTATAGACGCCAGTAGTGTATATGGAAATACAGCCAACGAGTCGGCACCAATCAGGACCTATAAGTTTGGTTAGTATTTAATTAATTAATAATATACAGTAGTCATACACACATACACATACACATACACATACACATACACATACACATACACATACACATACACATACACATACACATACACATACACATACACATACACATACACATACACATACACATACACATACACATACACATACACATACACATACACATACACATACACATACACATACACATACACATACACATACACATACACATACACATACACATACACATACACATACACATACACATACACATACACATACACATACACATACACATACACATACACATACACATACACATACACATACACATACACATACACATACACATACACATACACATACACATACACATACACATACACATACACATACACATACACATACACATACACATACACATACACATACACATACACATACACATACACATACACATACACATACACATACACATATTTATTGTCAATTAATTAATTTAATTAATTAATTAGGATTACTAAAAACAAGTCGGGACAGGTATGGTAAGCCAATACTGCCGACCACACCGGCCCCATGGAATAACGAGTGCAGTCCCCCCAAGGCTAGTATGCAATGTTTCTATGCCGGCGATCAACGATGCAATCAGCATCCGGCCCTTATGTCCATGCATTTGATTCTGGTCCGTCGGCACAATCAGATCAGTACATCCCTGCACGTGGTCAACCCGCACTGGTCGGACGAAGTACTGTTTCAGGAGGCCCGACGGCTGGTAGTGGCCGAACTACAACATATTACTTACAATGAATATTTGCGATTGGTTTTCGGCCAAACCCTGATGGACTACTACGGTCTGAATGTCGAGACCCAGGGCTACAGTCGGTACGACCCGAACACCGACCCGACCTCCTGGAATGAGTACGCGACCGCCGCCTGTCGTTTTGGTCACTCGCAGATCCGTAGCTATCATACAATGTTCAATACGGGTGCCGGCGGTGTCGGCCCTAACGGTCCGACTCAGGGCTATCATCTAAAGGACAGTTATATGGATCCGTCGTTTATGCACGAAGGACAGGTATGTTTTGTTTTTTAATTTGTTTGTTTGATTGACTGTTAATAATTAATATGAAACACATTGGATTAACCATTATTTTTATTATTAATTATTTTTACTGTACTTAACTGTATACATACTGTATATAATTTAATAAAATTTTTATTATATATATTTTAGTATATATACAGTACTATTAGTGTGTGTGATATTCAATACTATAATTTATACTATAATATACTAATACTATTGAATATCACACACACTAATAGTACTGTATATATCATATATAATAAAAAAATTTATTAAACAAAATTTATTATATGATACTCTCTCTCTCTCTCTCTCTCTCTTTCTCTCTGTTGTATTATCTAATTGATCTCAAAATGATAAGATAACGGCTCTTAAATGACTCTCATTTATTAAGTGTTCAAAAAAAATTTTTTTTCTTTTTAATAATTAACATATTTATTACTTAACCTATTAATACCGTGTATGTATGTATGTGTGTGTGTGTGTGTGTGTGTGTGTGTGTGTGTCTATTAAATTATTAAATAACTTATATAACAATTTAAATGCCTATTTATTTAATTATTATTATATTATCTGATATCTACAACAAAAAAATTATGTTATCTATTGAATACCAACAAAAAAAACAATTAAATTTTTCGCCTAAAAATTTTTTATGACAGCTTTTATATATACAGTATTGTTGTTATTATATTAAATATATTGTAAACAAAAAATTGTTTTAAAGAGATTTAGTATTATATTATTGAATAAGATTATCATTTTAGTTAGTTATGTGTTGTTTTATTTTCAAACATACAAAAAAAATTATTTATCAGTTAAGTAAGTGTCTTAAATCAAAATAATATTGAATTGTTTTGTTTATTATTATTATTATATGAATTTGATTTTTGATGTTTAAGTTTTTTTTATTGTTGTTATTAAAACAATATTTTTGTTTTAATTGAAAATAATAATTATTTTGTTATTATTATTATTGTTGTTGTTATGGTTGATGATGTTGTTGTATTTCCTGAGGTTTTTTAATTTTAATGAAGATTATAATCATTTAATATATATATATATAAAAACTATATATTTTATAACACCATTTAAGTGCAATATATTTTTTTATCTCACTATATATTATAGTTATATTTTATGATTAAATGTTTAATCATAAAAAATAAATAATAAATAAATAAATTCTCTCTCATTTTGTTATTAATTTATACAGTATTTCAATAATTTTTTTTTTATAAAAAAACACTTATAAAAGTAAAATTTAATTTGAATTTAATAAATATTAAAATAAATTATTATTATTATTTTTGATGCTAATAAATAATATGATTTTATATAAAAAAAATATTTTTTAATATATATATATATAATATCAAAATTTATAATAAAGTAGAATTTATAAATATATATATATATTAAATGCTAGATTAAAATTTTAAAAAAATATATAATAATATTTTTAAAATATAACTGTATATAATTATTATATAGTATATATGCAACAAATTTTTTGAATAAATTACATAATAATAATATATTACATCAATTACTTATTATTATTATTATTTATCGCTACCTATTCTCATAGCGTTTTTATATATATATATAATATATAAAATAATATTATTATTAATAGTACAGTAATACTGTAACAAAAAAAAATAATTAATATACTAAATAATGTTTGTTTAAGTGTTAACTAAAAAATTAAAATAATATAAGTTATTAGTTTTTATTTCTTTTAAATAGGAAGTATTTAACACATTTAGGAGAGAGAGAGAGAGAGAGAGAGAGAGAGAGTAAAAGTGATTAAAAACAAACTTATAATAAGCAGTAAATTATAGTTGAATATAAATATATATATATATATATATATATATATTTAATAATAATACTTTAAATAAATAATCGTAAATTTTCAAAAATTATAAAATAAAAAATTAAGTCACTAATCATTCAAAAAACGATTCACGTTTTTATTTTATATATATATATATATTTATTTACGATATTTGCACGCAATATACCTTGAAGGGATAGCTTTTGAAAAATTTGTATATAATTTTTTTTATTTCAACCAAAAAATATATTGATACATACATACAAAAAATCAAATAAAATAAATCAATGCATTCAAACATACATAAAATTACAATTTACTTCCCTTATTATGGTTTTTTTTATATACAGTATATATACATATGTATTAGTTTTTATTATTAAATTTATACACACAATGTGTGTGTGTGTGTTTACCTGTATTTTGATAACACACGTTAAAAATCATCGCATGCTGTGTGCGTGTATGTGTATGTGTATGTGTATGTGTATGTGTATGTGTATGTGTATGTGTATGTGTATGTGTATGTGTATGTGTATGTGTATGTGTATGTGTATGTGTATGTGTATGTGTATGTGTATGTGTATGTGTATGTGTATGTGTATGTGTATGTGTATGTGTATGTGTATGTGTATGTGTATGTGTATGTGTATGTGTATGTGTATGTGTATGTGTATGTGTATGTGTATGTGTATGTGTATGTGTATGTGTATGTGTATGTGTATGTGTATGTGTATGTGTATGTGTATGTGTATGTGTATGTGTATGTGTATGTGTATGTGTATGTGTATGTGTATGTGTATGTGTATGTGTATGTGTATGTGTATGTGTATGTGTATGTGTATGTGTATGTGTATGTGTATGTGTATGTGTATGTGTATGTGTATGTGTTTGTGTATGTGTATGTGTATGTGTKTGTGTGTGTGTGTGTGTGTGTGTGTGTGTGTGTGTGTGTGTGTGTGTGTGTGTGTGTGTGAGTGAGTGATTAGGGTGACCAGCAGCAATGTAATTAAAATAAAAATTATAGTTCTGATCAATTGATAAAATTGATGAAAAATACTAATATGTTTTTGTATAAAAACAAATAACAAAAAATACATTAATAAATAAATTGAATATGAATTAAACAGACAAACAATATTATTAGATATATTAAACTTAAATTATTAATAATAATTATTGTTATTATATATTAATTTTTTGTTTGAAAACAAAAATTTCTAAACAATTTGTTTTTTTTAAGTCACTCTAGCCGTCCGTCTCTAGAGTTTTGTTACGGTTTTTAAGAGATTAATAATAATAATAATAATAATAAAAAGGACTGACATTTACAACAAGTATTTAAAAAAAATATCGACTAATTTCTCTCTCTCTCTCTCTCTATAAAAAAATAATACTATAGTTATATAATCACACATCAAATGCATTAACAGTAATGTTATTTTTTTTTAAAAAAAATAAAATCAAAAAAAAATAAAACATTTATTTATTTAATGAAAAGATAACCTAAACATTCCTCTCTCTCTTTCTCTCTCTCTCTCTCTCTCTCTCCAGGATTTTCACTTATTAATATATTTAAATGTTAAAAAGTGAGCTAAATATCAGAGGGGATTCCCCCCCCTCTCTCTCTCTCTCCTCTATATATCTATCTAACTGTCCCTATAGTGTAGTGCTAATGTATGTATTAGCCCCCCCTCCGGCTCTCTTAGCAGTGTTTTTTTCAGGAGAGTTGGAAAGTAAATATAAATTGAGTGCAAACTTAATGACAATTTGTAATAATATTTTTTTTTATATATTTAATATAAAAAAAAAATCAAAAGCAAACTATTAAACTATAAAATAAAATTTTTGAAATAAAAAGATGAACCAAACATATACAGTGTATTTGGTGTCTAAATAATTAGGTTATAATTATTTTAAATATATTAATATATTATTTATATATTAATATAAATATTTTTTTTTTATTTATTTCCGCACAAAAACTATACGAGAAAAAAACATATATATAATTCAATAATAATTTATGATAACTCTCTCTCTCTCTCTCTCTCTCTCTCTCTCTCTCTCTCTCTACTGAATCACACTAACTATAACTCATTAATATTTACTCTCCGTTTTTAATTTGCATTTAATTTTAATATATGTTTTATATGATATATACTGTGTTTTTAAAAAAAACTTATATAACAATAAGTTTATGACATCAATATCTTTTTTTATTTATTTATTTATTTAATTTTTTTTAATATAATAATATGATTGATAATTTTTATGAGAGAGAGAGAGAGAGAGAGATATGATCTTTGATTTTTTTTGTTGATAATAATTATAATAATAATGTTTTGAATAATTTATTGCACACATAACTAATTGATTTTTTTTTGGATAGTTTTTTTACAAATATGTAAATTATTATATTTGAATTAATTTTTTTATTATTATTATTATTAATTCAAAATATACAATGATTTTAGTTTTTAAAAGACTTTAAGAGATATACCTTAATATATATTATTATTATTATTTTGTTTTACATATTTTACTATTAAAAAAATATGATATAATTTACATGATATTTATTTTATTAAAAAAAACAATTTCAACAAGTACATATTTTGATAACCAAAATAATAATAATAATAATTGTATGAATTGAAATTTAAATTACACGAAATTTTAATTTATAATTTTTTTTGTTGGAGAAAATTTATTAATTTAAAAATATTTATTAAAAAAAATAATAAATAAATGTTTTAAATAAAATATCCAAAAAAAGTTCAATGCTGTGTATTAATAAACCTTTTTTTTAAAAATAAAATAAAATACAGTATCTTTTTTATCATATATATACTGTATATTGTACTGTATTTGATATAATAATATAATTTTAAGCTATAAATCATGGAAAAAAAGATAACTAAACATTTGATTTCTAAAATTATTTTATATATATGTATATAAATGTTTGAAGATTTGCTTTAGATATTGAATTAAAATTACAAATTATATTTGCTTTTTGGCCTCAATATAGTCACACACACACACACATGAAATAATAATAATAATACAATAAAATTAAAAATACTTTTTTTTTGTTTATTAATTTTATTATTTATTTTAGTTTTTTGTTTGTTTCATTATATAGTTTAGTTTAGTTAATAAGCTTAGTCATCATAGTTACACATATTACAAGGTATATACAGTATATATGTTTATACGCTTATGTATCCCAAAAAAAACTGACATAATTTTTTTTATATATATAAATAAATTACTTTAATTGTTATTATACTGTATTAATGGATATTATATATATATAAAGTTGTAATATTTATTTATATATAATTGCACATCAAATTATAATACCAATTGTTATTACGGTATTATTATTATTATATTATTTATTTAATTTGTTTGGTATATATATATATATATATATGATATGTATGAATCATATATATATATATAAATATGTGTGTTAACCTTTGACATTGATTTTGTTTTATTTATTAATGGTATTATTTTTAATTATTTATATATAATTGCACATCAAATTATAATAGCAATTGTTATTACGGTATTATTATTATTATTTTATTATTTATTTATTTATTTGTTTGTTATATCTCTCTCTATATATATATATGTGTGTTAACCTTTGACATTGATTTTGTTTTATTTATTAATTGATATTATTTTTATTTTGTTGGTTACAAATTATCATTTAGTCGGATGCCCTAATCAATGGTCTCCTTAATGATCTGTCCTATTCAGTAGATCCATACTATTCGGATGATATAACCAATTATTTGATGCGGAAAAAAGGTGATCTGTTTGGATCGGATCTGATCTCGAGGAATATCGCCAGAGGCCGAGATCATGGTTTGGCTTCGTATGTTAATTATCTGAAATTTTGTTTCAATTTTGATGTAAGTTTTTTATTTTTAAGTAAAATTTTGTTTTTATTTTTCGTGTATATGTAATAATCTGTGTGTATATACCAGTATATAATTGCAATTTTTTTATGGTTAAAACATGAGATACCAATTTAGTTAATACCTTTTACTAAATACTATTACTATAACTATTGAGATATTTTTTTTAATTTTAAAATAATTTTCATAATTAGCTAATATATATATATTGAAATCAGTAACCAAACTAAATATACTATATATAAAAAATAATTAAATATTAATTGCTTACTTATTTAAGTTTTTTGTTTTATAAAATAAAGTAGTTTTCATTTATATATATACAGTATATACTGTATAATATATAGCATTATTACATATTTTAAACTGTATTATATATTATATATTATTATTATTATTATTATTTTTGATATTATATTTATAGGTAAGTTCGTGGGATGACTTAAAACTGTTTATACCTGAAAAATACGTTAATCTTTTTAGACAGTTGTATAAGTAAGTCACGAATTTATTTTTAAGTATTTATTTTTTAATTATTATTATTATTTTTACAGTATATTATTAATTATATATATATATATTGTTTTTGTTGTTACATTACATGCGAATTAATTTAATTAAATAAAAAAATATTTGACCATAAAATACTTGTAATATAATATTGTATTATAAATATATATATATAACTGTTTTTTTTAAATTATTATTATTATTAGATCACCAAAAGATATCGATCTATACATTGCAGGAATAACTGAGCGCCACTTTCCCGATGCCGATGTCGGGCCAACGTTTGCCTGTATTTTGGGCATACAGTTTCATCATCTAAAATATGGTGACCGCTATTACTATGAGCACGGGGGTCAAAGTGGATCATTTACACTAGGTAAATTTAGTCAACAACAAAATTACCAGTATATCATATATATATAACATAATAATATAACATATAGTTTATTAGGTTATTATATTATACATAAAAATTGCATTTAATAATATACATTATAAATATATATATATATATATCACTTGGAAAATTAATTATCACATCAATTATTATTAGAATTAATTATTATAATAATTAATTATTTTTTTAATTTAAACACTAATAATACATTTTTATTTATTAAAAAATTATAGCAATTAATTATATTTTGAGAGAAAATTGTTTTTTAGTATATATATATAAATGTTATTTATATTATTTTTTTGGATGAGATTTTATTGTGAAAAAATTTATGTATAATTGATGTTTTTTTTTTTAAAAAAAACTTAATAAGCAAACATTTTTTTTTTGTATTTTATTTGTATATTATATTTTTTTGTGTGTATTTTATTTTTTATGACTATTTTAGCTCAACTAAATAATATCAGACAGACAGCATCGTTGGCCCGATTGGTATGCCTGACCTCCGATTACATTAGTCGAGTACAACCGTATAGTTTTTTTCCTGAAAGCAAATACAATCCGAAAATTGATTGCAAAAAATACAGGGATTTTGATTATCAACTATGGAAAGAGTGATAATAATAATAATTAATAATTAATAAAAATTATATCAAAATTAAAATTAAACAAAAATTAAAAAGTTTTTAGAGTCAGTCATATTGTTTTTTTTAATTTAAATTTAAAAATTTTATTCTAAATTAATTCTAATATATTTATATATTATTATAAATAGTAATATTGATAAATATTATTAACCAAAAAAAATTTATAATGTAATGTCTATTATATTTTTATTTTTTATTTATAAATATTTTTTTTAATATTAGTTACTAAACTATTAAACTATTTAAAAACTATAAATTAGATTTAATTGTGTTTTTTTCCAGTAATTATTTTAGAGAGAAAGAGAGATAGAGAGAGAAAAAAAATTATAAGTAAATTTAATAATAATTTAAATTTAATATATTGTAAACAAATTAATTATTTATTTTTATATAAATAGTTTTGAATCATGTATTTTCATATATAAGTTTTTTTTCCAGTAATAAAGTACAAAATTTTACTTATATTTTAATTTTGTTGAAACTATTGAATTACTAAATACTTGTTGTATGAATTTGTAATGTTTAAAAAAATTAGTTTTTTGCTAAAGTTTTAATAGTAATAAAAATTATTAATGGTATAAATTTAAACATAACAAACATATATTTATTTATTTATAATGACATTTTACATACAAACATATAAACAACACTAATTAAAAACAATTTATTTAAATATATATATATATATATATATGATATATAAAACACAATTGAATATACAAAATGATGTAAATGTAGACTATTTTTTGCATATCATATATTTGCATAAATTGCAGGTTTTTTTATTATATGTATAATTATTTTTTATTTTATTTTTTTCAATTACAAGTTGTCTGTCTGTAAGTATATGTAAGTATTTTTTTTAGTTAAGTTTTTTAGTTTAGAAAGTAATACAACAACAACAAAAATTTTTGATGATTTATTTCCTGATAAAAAAAATTATGAAAAGTTATGTCACAATTAGTTATCAATTAGTTTAATAATAATAATAATAATAATTTACATTTTTAACTAACAAATTATAGTCACAAAAAAATAGCTAAAGTTTATTTTTAAAATAAATTTGTAGCAAATATTGTTTAGCATATTATAGTTGTTTATATATGTGGTTTAAATTTGTCTATAAATTTAACTTTTAAAAAAAAATTTTAGTTAAAAACAGAATTAACTAAAATAAATGTTATTTTTTATATTATTATTATTATTACAACTATTAAATTATTATTATAATATTTGTTTATATCTATAATATGTGTATTGTTTTTTGAAACTTTTTTTGTTTTTTTTTATTTATTTCAAAATACAGTATAGTATTCAAAGTGCTTTCAACCCTAATTGCAACACATTTTTTGGTTTAATATTATAATTATTATTATTATATTATTATTAATATTGATGGCCATCAATATACTTAAGGATAACATTATTTAATTTATTTTTTATTTATATAAATATAATAAATGAGTTATTGTTTTCATTTAATAATAATAATAATATACTCTCTCTTTCGCTTTGATAAACAATTTAATTTTGAATACATTGAAAATTAATACAAATTAAAAAATTGTTTTGTTTTGTTTATATATATATATTATTTGTTTAATGTTTAACATATAATATTATGAGAGGGTATCTAAATATCTTAATTTAATGGCTTTATTAAACTGTTTTATTTTATATATATATATATAAATTCTTTCACTTTTTTTTCAAATGCCAATCAAACCATACAACAACAAAAAAAAACAGTAAACAAAATACATTATATTATTTAATTATTATTATAACAGTATAGAGTATTATATAATTGTATTTTAATAATATATAATATAATATTATAATATAATTGATGCGTCCATTAGATTGCTTTATGCGAGAAATAATACAATAACTATGATATCTATAATAATCTGTATTTTATATATATATTAACAAAATAAAAAATTATTATTATTATTAAAAAATAAAAAATTAACACTAGATATCATATACAGTATATATTCAAGATATTAATCAACTGTTAGTCCAAACGTGTGTCCAACTATTTTGTCAAACATTTTTGTTTATTTATTATTATTTTATAATTTATATAATATTATATATTATTATATATAATATTATATATATATATATATATATATTATACAATATATTTAATTATTTAATCTAGAAACTTTAAAGCTAGACATATATTATATATAATATATATATTGTAATTTAATATCATAATTTAGTTTAGTATGTTATCAAATGATATTTAGATAATGTTTTTTTTATAAAAAATAATTATTTATTATATTGTATTAGTGTGATAATTATAAATTATTATTATATATTTTTTTTAAATTTATTGCACCGTTAACTATACCAGACTTTTTTAAAAATTTTTTTAATTAATTAAACTAAACAAACAAACGTTAAATTTATTTATTTTTTTAAAAAAAATTAGTTAATATTTCAAAACTGATCCTTTAATATGACAGCAATATTAGTTAGCATTGAATTGCATTCATAATATTCATTGATTTATTTAAATAAAAAAATTATTATTATTATTATTATTATTACAGGTATTATTCATTTTGTTATCACTGAACTCAATATTATAATGTAAATACTGTTTGCTTTAAATTATAATAACAATTATTTATAATAATAATTATTATTATTATTATTAATTTGTTTTTATTATTACTATAAATTTTTATTCTATGTCACTTTTATTTATTAAATGTTTTTTTCAAAAATTAAAATACAAACATATATATATATAAGATATATTATAATATATATATATATATATTATTTTAAAAATCTCATAATTCTAATCATTATAAAACTATATCATTATTTATTTAAGCAATTTTTTTAAAATATTTATTTTATTAAATGTAAATGAGTTTAATTGCAGCTTATATTTATAATATATTTATATATATATTTATATATATTTATATATATATATAATACTGTATATCTGTATATATATATTGCATTTTAACTAAAGTGCAATAACTGTTTATATACAGTATATATATACTGTATTTATAGATATTAAACTTTATATATACAGTAGTATACCAGTACTGTATATAATAGCTATTAAGTACTCATCATTAACTATATCTTATATATAATAAAAAATAAATTTATAGTTAATCTGTTTTTAAACGAAATAAATTGACTAATTTGGCATAAATTTAAAAAATATTTTTATAAAAAAATTATTTAGTAATATAAAATTATAAGTTGATATATACCTTAATATTGTTTTTTTAAATAGTAAAAAATAGTAATTGTTAAAAATTTAATCAAAAAAAATAATAAAAATTGCAAATATTTTTTTCCAATTATAAAAATTACTAAAATGATCATGGATAAAAATTATATTAACATTTTTGTCTAAATAATTATATATATATATATATATATAAATAATAATAAAATGGATTATTGTTTTTTTAAAAAAATGTTAATTATAATAATTTATATCTATTTATAAAATATAGTCATCAAAAAAATAAAATAAAACATTTAAAAAAATAAATAATTAACCGCTTATTACAATTTATACTGTTTTATATTAATAACAATACTAATAATAATAATAAAATGACATAAAAAATTACTATTTAATAAAAAAAAACACTTTTATCATTGTATAAACAACAACAACAACAAAATTTAGACAAATTAATATAATATTATATATATATATATAAATAGTTTATAATAATAATAATAACAATATATAACAATTATTATGCAAAATATGTTTTTTGTTGTAAAAAAACAATTTTACGGTTCAATCATAATTTTAATGATGAAGTTGTCAATTGAATGTGTCTTTTATTATTATTATTATTATTATTATTATTATTATTATTATTATTATTATTATTATAATATTATTATTATCATTAGATTAGACCCACAAATAGAAAATACAAGTTTTTTATTAGTTATATACAGTATTTATCATTTATTTTTATTTAGTTATTTAGTTATTATTATTTATTTTTTTGTTATCAACCATAAAACTTGTTTCACACAAAATATGATATAAAATTTTTGTTTTTATTTTTTTTATTTAATAAAAAAACTTTTAACCAGTAGTACTGTAACAACGATAAAATTAATATTTTATTTTCAAAAAAAAAAACAAAAATTTGTTATCTAAAAAATTTGCTATTTATGTTATATACCAGAATAAGGTATATATATAATAATTGATTGAAAGATATTTTTATTATTTAGTTATTTTTTTCAACACACAAAAACATAGATATTTCTACAATATATACATATATAATGTAATTGTAATTATATTTATTAACTGACAGTTATAATAATAATAATAACAAAAAAATAAAACAAATAAATAGTAAATCATATACTGTATATATTGTATTGTATAATAATTTATGGTCTATATATATAATAAATTGTTTTTTAATAAACAAAAAAATATATATATATTATATTATTTGTCAATAATAGAAATAATGGTAACAAAATTATTAGAAAATAACTAGAAAATTTTTGTATAATTATTAAGTGATTAAAATGGAATAATTAAAATAATTTATAATTTAATTTAAATTAAATATATATATATAGATTAATAATCAAATTATATTTTTTTAAAAACATATATTTATTATTTGTTATCCCAGATTATAAATAAAAACTTAAATTGATTTAATGCTCTATATTTCAAAAAAAAAGTATTACAATATTTACAAATTTATATTTAATTAAAAATAAAATATAATTTAATTATTTAATTCAAAATATATATTGATAGACTGTTTTTGTTCCGGTTATAACCAAATAATAATAATAAAATTATATTTAATTATATTTTTCAAAAAACTTATATTTAGACTTTAGAATTATAATATCAATAAAAAATCATTTTAAAAAAAACAAACATTTAATAACATTATAAATACTAAAATTTTTAATATCAACAAAAAAAAACAAACATG